GTGGCATGTCTGAGGACTTACAGCGCTAAAAACCGGGTTCCGATACCCGCGGTGGGCAGAGCACAGATAGCCCATTGTGTTGCTTTGTGTTCAACTAGAAACAAACAAACTCTACGTTTTGATAACAATTTAGAAATGCGACTGCGCAGCATCATCTGGTAAGAAAAAAAACGTATTAGGAAAATATCGAAATAGCTGTATACGAATTTTACTGAAAGTTTTACTGTTGGTGATATTATGTTTTCATAGAGCGAAACAATAAGTGACTTTAAATAACATAATAAAAAAAGGAGGAGATAGTCAGAGATATTTTACCTTTTTGAATACACCTAAAATCTACTATATCAAATGTTCAGCTCATGTCAACAGTTTAACCAGTTTAGTGACTCCCCCTCCCTCACACAAATACATCCTAATTATCACCGTTTCGATGAAATATAAATTTGTTTCAAAACATTTGACACAACTAACCAAATGTAGTTCACAGTCAATTCAGTATTTTATGTTTATAACAATTTTTTTAAAACTTATTTTAACTTGAATACAAAAAATAGAAATGTAGATTTTAATGGTCATAACCCAAGTATAGATTAACAAACAATGTTTTCACGATAGCTACGGGCAAAGTCTGGCATTATATCACAGCCACTGGTAGAACTGAACGAATCATTTTTCACGAGAGCTGTGGATAAAGTCCGGGGTCACCGTCATCTATGGTCTTATGGAACGCTGTCAGATACTTCAGTATGATGGTAATATTGCAAACCAAGCCAACGTAAAGAGCAGATGAAAAAAAAATAAAGTAGAAAGAGAATTATTTGAATGTTTTTACTTTTTTGATGCAAAAAAGTTGTTTGTACTTCAAACAGAATTTTTAGAGTAACAAAATTAACAAAAAGTTTAATTACTTTACCCCCCCCCCATAAAAAAGAAAACAAAAAACAAACACCACAAAGCTAATAAACGACCGTTTCGTTGTCTTATGCAACTGTGTGACTTCGAAGTCTTTATAGCTATATTTTCACAGAGTGACAGAGGAGACTATCAGACGTGGTTTACTTTCTATAACTGATCTTTCTGATTGGGCTCATTCACTAGTCACCTCTGTTTGTATCCTTAAAATATAGTGTTACTGAATTTTTTATCTAACGATGACGCCTACGTGACATACACACTATACTTGTTTACCATTAGGAATCGACTGGTATTTAAATATACACAGTCTTTAATAACGTGCCACAAGACCTTGCTCAGTTCTCTGGGGTCACAGCTATCAGCGGCGCTTAGCATCCTAGAATTTCAAAATGTTATCCCATGCTCATAACTCTAAATGATATAATACTAATTAAACAAAAATCAATATTTTATTAACTAATATTTTGGGGAGTAAAAGGAGCCTACAGCTATAATTGCTTAGCATGACAGTGTTATGCTACCTCGACTGTTTTAGAATCCATGTTTAAAACTACACGTTAAAATATAAGTTTAAACTGCCACAATACAGTAGTACATTATTATTGCATCGATATAACAATAGCAGCTCGCGGAAACATTATCGAAGTGCTTGTTGCGCTGACAGAAACAGCAGTTTTCCTTGATGTAACTGTTGCATTTATGTTTCTATGCATCTACTATGTTCATCCGAATGATCCCGTCGTTATATTCCGCAGCTCTCTTATTGCTTCACTTACGTCTGAGTTAGTTGTATCAAATGTCTCGTCACGCGGTCTGATTCACACCGTCTAATCAGAACTATAGGCATAGCTGCGTTTACGCAGACCTTTATTTCTTGCGGATGTTTATTTACAAAATGGAGGAACACGTTGTAGATGCGATAAAATTTTTGAGAAAAAAAAGGATCTTCAAGCACGTGTGTTATTCATCTATGCTCATTACACACTCTATTTACTCAACTGTGAAAATTTCCCAAAGACAGCGATAGCTTTTGCCACCATTGTTTTTTCGGTGAAATCCACCTACAATTCACAGACCTAACGTTTCCGGTTTGATAAATTTTAAAATACAGCACATTCAGATGTTAATGATACAACTCGAGAACAATGGAATATAATGACTGGATTATTCGGGTTACTAATACGCAGTAACTCGAATAATACAGTTCACATTGTCAAATCAAAAATTCTATAACTTTCATTTGTTTTACCACACTCTTGGTCACAGATATTTATTTCCAAGCTCCTTCTTGGATCGTTATGATCGTGCATGAGCCAAGACAGTGGCCGATACTTGTAAACATATTTTGATTGTCATCATCACCTGCCGCTACTCTTTTACCAACGAATAGTGGGATTGACAATCACATTATATCGCCCACACGGCTGAATGAGCGACCATATTTGGTGGGACGGGGATTCGAACCCGCGACACTCAGATTGTGAGTGAAGCGCCCTAACCACCTGACTATGCCGGGCCATTTAGGAAATTAAATCAGAACTATAGAACTGTAGAACCCAAGACATTTATATGATTTTCTTGAAATTGTTTTGATAAAAAACAGAAGTATAACATACATTATTAGTATATATATATAAAGTAAAGAAAAACATTTCAAAAAGGAAGTAAGTGTAAGGATGGCTGATATCAATCCTTCGAAAACAATGCAAACAAGATAGTAAGAATTACATTTGCATCATCCCTACATAATAGCACAGGCAAGAATTAACATATAGCAATGTTTATAACTATTCAATCACAACTGAGTTTAATTTACCCTATTTCTGCTACCTCCACTGTCTTGCTTGCATTGTTTTTGAAGAATTGATATTAGCCATCCCTACATTTACTACCTTTTTTGAAACTTTTTTTCATTATTTGTTTGCTTGTTGTTGTTTTTAATGCAGTGTTTCAATAGGAAGGATATATTTTTAACCAAGTTTTAAATACAATGAGGTTCCAACTATTATATTTATTGTTTATCTGTTTTTCGCTGGTAATTCCTGTTTCACCCTGTACGTAAGCATTTTAAAGTAACATAATATTAATGAAAGAAAACTAACTTTAAGGGATAATGATACAATCGCTTATACTAGAATTATGATTTTTTAAAGTTACTACTCGTTAATAATACTTATAAAAGCGGATACTTCGTTTGAAACTATGTCACCTCAGTGGAATTGGTTGTTTTGGTTTTTGGGTTATCATGTAATACAAAAATAGAAGAAAGAACAACAAGAAATTCAAACTTTCTGCTATATCTATAGACATTCCCAGAACTTGTGACCCAGTCATTACATAGATATTGTTATAAAAGGAAGCACTGTATAGTATTGTAAAGTTCTAATCACCTACTGAGGATATATTTAAAATACCATTTCGATTAACAATCCGGGCCATCCTTACATGGCCTGCCTGATATTTGTGCGTGTGCTAAATTATCAACCATCTTTCAAGCACAGCTGCAGGATCAAACATGGTCTAGTAGTTAGGGCACTTGATTCGCAACCTGAAGGTCACGGGTTTGAATCCCGTTCCTGAACATACTCGCCCTTTAAGCCATAGAGTTGTTATAATGTTCCGGTCAATCTACAATTCGTTGATAAAGAGCAGCCCAAGAGTTAGCGGTGGGTGATGTGGACTAATTACATTCCCTCTAGTCTATCACTTAAAAACTATTAACGGCTAGCGCAGATAGCCTTCGAGTAGTTTTACGCGAAATTCAAAACAAACCAACAAAAGCTTTTTCAATTTCTAGCTTTTCTTGTTGGTATATCACATATACAAATGCCAAAGTTGAATGGAGAATCCTATAATAAATATGTAGCTCTTTTCCAATTGTTGTGTTAGTCAAAAAAACATGATTCACGTAATTAGCCAGTACATATTTTTAAAAGGTTTTCCTCTTTATTAAACTATAGAAACAAATGCTGAACACAGAACACTGAGATCTAACAGGCTATCAAAAATAAAACACAAATGTCTTTTAACATTAAACTCCATATACAGACCCTACTGATGTATCTGCTCTTTTCATTAACGTATTTGTAAACGTTAAAAATGACTTTAGAATCTTATAATTACACCGAAAACCTCTCTCATACTTCGCGATATATGATAATTATGTTTTAAAGATTTTCTACCCTAAACGCAAAACATACAAAAACAAATACTTATTACTATTATTATAGTATATATACATTTTCTTGAAGTCCTGAATTTTTGAAGGTAAACAACTAATGAAGTAAAAAACCAAACTTCACAATTAAAGTATCTTTGTTAGTTCCATCGACGAAATTCTAAACTCTTCGAATTATATTTTATTCCATGCAATAGTACAACTTGTAAGCGCATCTTTAAATACAGGGAATGATAATCAAATATCTTTGCATAACCCCGACATTTGCTTAGTAGAAATTAAAAATTGATTTTTTTTGCTCCAACTTAAAAGCCACAATATTTTTGTTTGTAAATGTGGCCTAAAGAACTGTCCAAAACTTGTGTTGTTGATGTGAATACTAGTTTTAATTCTTTGTAATTTTGTACTACAGTTCGTAATATGGTGATGATAATTCCTAAGTAAACATATTTCATAAGTAGTTTTTTAAATCGTAATCACTAACAAGATTAAATATATACTATATCTTGATCTAAACTTGCTTTATCCATCAATATTAGAACTATTTTGTACTCTTATGATACGACTTTATGCAATGGTTAATCCTACGCTAAACATAAAATCAAATACGTAATTTGCAAATATATATATATATTCGCATACTTATCCTAAATGTAAAATATACTAATTTTCATTAGTTACTCATAATCGTTGTAAGCCCTTTGTTCAATATTAGTAGTCTAACAACTAGAAACAACAGTGCAGAAGTACACTGTTTCCTTTTTACTTTTGAAAATTTGACACCTGAAGAGACTAACATCAAGATGTGATATAATATCTAATGCTTGTGAATGTACATAACCATTCAATATTTATTTGGTTACGTCTAAACATTTAAGCCTAATAACATTCTAAACAGCATACAAACCTTCCATCCAGCAGAGCTGTTACTGTCCCCTTTATCACTGAAATACGGCACATTTCGCACCATCCAGTCGTATATTTGAGAGAGGGTCAATCGTTTATCTGTTGAATTCTGAATAGCTTGAGTAATGAGTTCTGCGTACGACATATTACCCCATGCATTGCGGCGTGTTGAACTCTTCTTGGGCAGCTGACCTCCAATTGTGGCATCAGAATGAGGTGAACCTTGTCCCTGTTCACTGACCTTTGTCGTTCCTCCAGATTTTTCCTCTTCTTTTTCACTGAAGTTATCAGGGCGAGGTAAAGGCCATGTATTTGAACGCGCCCGAAATTCCCCTTGTTCTTCAAAAGTGGGTTCACTTTCTAGTATCTCCATTGTAAATTTAATATTAAAAACTATTCAAAATACTCTTGTTAACGTGACTGAAATACATTTGAAACCAACAAAATAATCTAAATAAAACAGGTTAATTATTGCACATTTTTACATTAAATAATGTTTGATCTATGCCTATATTATGCTTGTACAAGTTATAGTTTAACTGTTAATATTAGGAAAAATGATAGAATACCCTTGATGTAACCTGCCATATAAGTGCGTGGTGACTATTACATGATGAGGATGTATAAAACTTCACTTGAGAGTTACATTTCATTGCGCAATGTCGTCATAGTCAAACTGATTACAAAATTTGGCCTTGAGAATTGAATCCAAACATAGCACACACACACAAAAAGGCTTACGTTCGTTCCACTACACAGTTGTGGCGTGACTGTGTCGGATCACGATGATAAAACTTTACAAGACCCAGTATCATAATTTATCATTATTACTCAAGCAATATGGTAACACAGTCATCTGTAGTCTTTAGGGAATTTCTACTCGCAAATTAATGCCAGCAGGGGGCAGAAGACCACTCAAACACGGCAGCGTAGCCAGTTTTAACTTGCGTGCCTCCAACACCAGGTTAACACAAACGTTTAAAATACACGTTGTCGTGAAGGAATTTCCAATATTTTGAAAGTGTTAAGGATTAGTAGTTATTCTTACCTAGCGATACAAACGATGGAACATATGGTAAATTGGCTTAACAATAAATCTGACCTCATACTGTGCCCAAACTATATAAAAAGTATAGCTTCGAGAACATCGTGGCAAAATTCACAGCGCACGGCACCTTCAGCACAACATCATGCACTTTGTGGCGTCTATGACGTCACATTAGGCGTTGCTCTTATTGGCCAATTTCATAGTACACGTGCTACGCCGTGGTGAATCACTGCTCATTCACTTGAAATGTTATGTGCATTTTCTGAATCGCTTATTTACGATTGCTTAATTTGCTATTTGTTTTGTAGAAGATAAACAGAACAAAAGTGCGAAAAAGGCAATAGCAAAGTGGCAAAGTAGCCATAAAAATGGTTTAGTATGTGTAAATTTACAAGCGAATACGTGACAATAAACATACGGTTTGTCACCTTTAGTTACAACTAGAGCAATAAGTAATTATCATTAATCATACTTAATTCCCTATAACAGTCGTTAACCATGTAAAATCAGCTAAGGTATATTATGCTCTAGACAGTTATAAAAAAACGTATTAACACATCGATTAGTAGTAATATCAAACGGTTAGAGCAGAATGTGTGGTAATGCAAGTGCTGGAACTTTAAACACACAAAAGAGCCCAAATATAACAGGAACATCCCTAGATTTTTGTAAAAAGGAGCACAGTCAGAAATTCCTAATGTTCAAGGAAAGTTAGATTACAGCTCAATCTTTGATTCCATAAACTGTTATAAATCTCTGTTTTCTGTGATAAAGATGATAAAAAAATTACTTTCACGGTTTTGCATACCTCGGAATCAATATAAGCACGTCATTAATCAACCACAAGCTATATTTTAAGTGTGCAGTAGAGTCGTGCCAAATACCAACAGCCAGACTTGTAACGATTGTTTGTTTGTTTGGAATTAAGCACAAAGCTACACAATGGGCTATCTGTGCTCTGCCCACCACGGGTATCGAAACCCGGTTTCTAGCGTTGTAAGTCCGTAGACATACCGCTGTGCCACTGGGGGCTAGACTTATAACGAACTCTGATTCCATTCAAGTTGCACACAGATAACAATGCCCTATCCAATATTATAATGCGACAAGTGGACTAATGATTAATTACTTTTGATATTCATTCATTTAAACATATATGTAGGAAGGCAATGCTGAAAATCACATAAAATCCAAGTATATTTCTAAAACAATTCTCACGTTTTGTGGCTAAATTTACTAACAAGTACAGTAATAGTAGGATAGTACGGGGGTCACTGAACAAAAATTGAGCGGTGGAAGTGTTGTGAATCTTAAATGTTTACTTGTTTGTTGTTAAGCGCAAAACTACATTATGTGCTGGCTATCTGTGCTTTGCCAACGCAAGGATCGAATCCCAAATTTTTAGCGTTATATAATAAACCCCCGAACTTATCGATGAGCTACCGGAAGCAGTACGACACTTAAAACCTTCATAAAATCAAGTGTTATATACCTATATCGTACACAGAAAATATCTTTTCATTTTAATTCACTGTATTCAACATCCCATCAGCATGCCTTTAATTAATTTTCTAGTGATTTTTTAACTGTTTCTGTTTGGCACAAGTTTCTGCGCCCTTTTACTAAAGCTATTACATTTATGCCACTTTATTGATCACGTGACTTCTCCAGTCCATAGTACATTTTCCTGTTAACATCAACTTTTAGGGTTGCTTTTATATTTGCATGAGTTACTCAGCGCTTACCAATTCCTGAGAACTACAGTTTTGAAGACGGCTGGTATAGTCACGTGACTTATATTTCATTTCTGTGTTGATTTTTAAATTTCGGTTTCACTAAGCCAATATTTTACATTTCTTTCTCGATTTCAACTTTGTAGTATTTCTATGCTATATTGATCAATACAACGGCCTTATCGGCAGCTTCCACAGTTACATGTTTGTCAATATTGTCACATTACTGAACATGGCTTTAAATTCTATAAATGTCTTATACCTAATTTATTACTCTTCCGCACTGATGTCACTCTCTTCCTCGTGATTTTCACAGCCAACAGGAATGACCTCATTGCAAAATCTCACCACAACAACTGAAGTACATTTTTCAAACAAAAACAAAAAAGCAAGTTTTGAAATAATTTGTTAATTTTAATTTTACAGAGAGTATAGGCAACAATTCTTAATATTGTAGCGTCAGCGAGGTCACGTGACTAGTGTCAAGCCACGTTTTCTAGGAATATCCTGTTCCTTCGTGAATGCCCTAGCATTTACTAGATTGGGAGTAGTCTGGTATATATAAGATGGTCATAACGTAACGGGACAGAATGTGTAGGTAATGAGTAATTGAACTGCAGTCAGAGAATATTGTTGAAGTTAACGTTCGTTGTTATAGCGTTTGTTATAGCGCGACTGTTGAAATTAAGTGTATCGTAAAGTTGTATTCGGAAAGAATAAACCAGTTTTATTAAGAAAGGACTTGTGTCGCTAAAGTTTCGTCGGAACGAAGTTACGGAAAATCAATTAACGAACGGAGACGTAACAATATCAAACCACGTCAAATCTTTGGTGAGATGACTGTATATCCATATTTTAAAGTTCTTGAACCCGTATCAATTTTTGTTTGTATTTTCTTTTTTGATATTAATCATAACATTTAAAGTAAGCTTTATAACTGGTTTTCAGTGTGTATATGTGTTTACTTAAATATTCAAATATCTATACTCAAGTACTCCATTAATTACATAAATTACATTTTATGAATGTACGTGTACATTTAAATTAGACAATACAAACATAAACAAAACATTGCTCTAGTTGTTCTTTGTTTTTAGAAATCGCAACAGGCAAACTAGAACTGCAATGAAGAGGATATTCGTTCAAATCTAGTTAGTAGATGAAGTTGAAGAATTATGATCTGATCTTTTCTACAAAATATGTGTTGTTAAAGCAAACATTAAAATATACTGTCGTGAAAATGACGAAAGCTTCGAGTTCGAGTTACAGTATGTAAAGTAATGAGTTTTATCGTCGGGATCCTCTATTTTATACGATCTTTTCGAGGCGTTTCGCGCTTCGTGTTAAGTTTTTTCAAGGACTCGAGGATCCCACATTATTTAATTTTCTTTTTACAGCTTCTGAGCTTACTTCACATGTTCTTCTTCAAACTCCTTCTCATGTATATTATCTTTTCACGACATTTCGAGCTTCGAGTAGAACTTCTTATCAACAGCATTTCCATTTATTGAATTTTGTCATGATGCCTCAGTCTTCTGAAAAACTGAATATGATTCTTATGAATAGACAACTGTACTGAAAACACTATCAGTGTTCTGTTTTAACAGATACTGAGAGAAAGTTTTCTAATTACACAGTTGCAATTCCAAGAAATGTTTAAATATACAGGGTACTATGCATCTAAATGTTACATGTTTCAGTTATTAATTACTGATTGAGTATATTGACGATTTTGTTGAAAATTATTCATCGTGTGTTATTAAATATTACACGCACTTAGAATCATTTATTTTTAAAACTTAGGATTATTGGCTTCACGTTATATACATGTTATCCTCTGAAGTTCAAGCTAAGTGTTCAAAAAGAGTACGAATCTTAATTTCAGTATGATTTATGCATATGTGCCACGTTGTCGAGATCAGCTCTACACTGGATCTAGGTTAAAGAACAGCACCTGTACGTTATGACGTTTCTGACCGGATTAATCCATTTAGTTTTGTATTTACATGTACACAGCATACCGACCCGAATTTCCTTACGCATATATATATATAAATCCCGCTACAGCTGTATTAAGCAACCAATTATCACTCTGCAAGTAAAAACGTACTCGCGGGCTAGAAATATTTCTTGTCTAAAATATAGTTCGGGTAGTAACTGTTTCTCGTTATTAGGTTTAAATAAGCTTTCACTTTATATTCCTCATTAAGTATACAGAAACTCAGATTTTATCTTTAAACTTTAGACCTAAATATTTCCAAATACTGCAGCTGTAATAGCGAGAGAACTGTACTTGTAAAGGTTATTTTTTTATAAACACTAATTATTAACCACTGAAAGCTTAAACTTTGACCATAAGATATCAGTTATTTTCATTTCTAAACATCTGGGCAGTTTGTTTGCCCGAACTAGTGACCTCTATTTTTAATACTTTCTGCATTCACAAGCTGTTGCACGTGAACCAATAAATTAGGTGCAAGTCAACTGAGTGCGATACCAATCTTAATAAGTATCCCAGTTATAATGCAAAAATAACATATTAAACAATAATTACTCTTATGTATTTACTAGTTATTGTACAAGAAAAAGCAAGAAGTTTGATAGTTGAGATTCCGAGCTACTACTTATGTATTCCCTAATTACTGTTTGCAAAAAAACAAAAAGTAACTGCATGATAGTTAAGCGATATCTTGATTCACTCTTGATACAGGATGATACAAAGAAAACCCTATACTTAAAATGATAATATCATTAAAACAAATTGTCCTACAGGAAACTAAATTTCATCAATGACACTTTGAGAATTATCAATTTCGGTTAGAAAAGTATTTCGCAACGTGTTACAGAAAGTGTTCAATATTTTTCTATCATAATTAATCAGCGAATCAAGTACATCCCTAAACTGAGCTGTCATGGGCAGTGAAATATATTTGAATCTGGGTAGTCATCGACGATTAGGGGCACCTTATTTCCTATACTAATCGTAACCGCTGAATTCAAAACTGAAACAACGACTTTCCATAATGGTTATAAGAACCTGACCTTCCCAGAGCCATAGAAAGGATCTAGATCCCGACGTGGACACGAGAGAACGGCGGAAGACGATCATGATGGTTATACACAAGTCTCTATTTCACATTCAAAGGAGCACTTCGCTACCTGTACAAATTTGGGGGGCACGTTCCCCCCAGTGCCACCCGGTTCGGCCACCTATGGGTGCTACTGTAATTATCACCCGTTTTGGACAGTGTCCATTGATCCTTGCTGTTTTCATATCCTCCAAACTTCATTATTGTAATAGACATTCCAATTGAGGAAACCCCACAGACAAGCATGTGCTGATGCAATATTGGGAGATCTTGATGGTCATTTCAATACTGTGTGAATGAAACT